TCCTCCTCAGTCCACATCAGACTCCATCAGCTCTTCTGCCTGCTTTCTATGCCTTCACTTAACTAAGGAGTATAGAGCAGAAATTTCTCCTACCTTATGTGCTGCATCTGGGCAGGAAAGGCCAAAGTGGGGAGTGAGGGGTCCTGCAGCAGCGACTGCAGGGAGAGAGCACTGGTGGGAGATGCCCAGGCTGCTGCTGCTCTGCGTCCCCCACAGCTGTGGGGACACGGGGAGGGCAGGCAGGCCCTGGCAGAGGTCCAGGGAGGCTCCCACAGCCAGGAGGGAGCGAGGGGGAGCAGGGAACACAGGCTGCCCTCCCACTCACCGCAGACACAGCTGGACGCGCATCCCACTGCTGAGGGCTCAGCATGGGGGGGAGGAGGCAGGGGCTGCTCCAAACGGGAAGGGAGGGAGGCCCAGGAGCAGGGACACCCTGCAGCAGTGGCACAGGGGAGGGCAGAGTAGATGAAACGTGGTCAGGTGCTGGCAGCAGGTGTTCCAGCACCACCTTGTCCAGGTGGGCAACAGGGAGGTGACCGCAAGCAGCAGCCGATGGGACCGTGGCTCGTTTGGTGGAGCACAGCCTCTGCCAACACTGAACTCAAACATCCTAAGTGTCCCCCAGCTCCCCCCAGGCACAAATCCCATTTTTCCTGGAGTCAAACATCAGCAGCACCCTGAGGAATCAGAAGGGTGCACATACTTCCCTCCACCCCAAGCAACCCGCAGCAGATGACACTCAGAAATGGGTGAACCAAACTTGTTCCCTTGCCACGATTATCCAGGACAAAGGACCTGGACCAGTGTCCAGTGAAACCTGGAAGGGCCAGGAGAGGGGAGAAATTGTATGAAACTCAATGGGCAAGGATTGAGCTTCACAAATTTCCACTGGCATCTACTCCTACAGTTTCCATTGCTGAAAACAAACCTGAACCACAGGGAGGTTTCTGGGCTGTTTCTGCTGTGGCAGTCTGGAAAGTGTTCAAACTAATTGGAGCTGGGTAACTCTGAGCACATTGGCTGAGAGGAGTTTAGTTCCTGACTGGTGATAACACCATTCAATTTATAATACAAACAGAAAAACTTCTGAGCAAGAAATGGAGAGCGGCAGAAGCATGAGCATGTCCCAGGGAAAAACACTCCTGCCCTGAATTCCCACATCAGCTCCCCTGTGTTGGCAGTGACCACATCAACTCTGCTTCCTTATCTCCAGTGACATGTTACCAACCAGGCTGTGGAGCTGCAGGGGTCACTTCCCTCTGCTGATCACGTCAGCTCTCAGGAAGCCAAGTGCTTTAGACTCCTCTACAGCGGCTCAGACATCACCTGTCCATCTGGCCTGCTGGACGAGGCTGCCACGCAAACAGCAGAGGCAGCAAAACGAGAAGAGAAAACTCTGCTTTTCCTTCAGTTCTCAGCCAAATTCTTGATTTTTTGCTCAGAATGAATATGCATAAAAGTGTGAGATTCAGCTCAGTAAAAGCAGAGGCACAGACACAAACTCTGCTTAAATCCCTGCTGGAGAGGCAGAAACATTTGGTAGGTGTCTGAGTGAACCCTGCAGACTGCAAACTGTGTATCACAGTGTCTAAATATGCTAGAGGTGGTGTGTGTAAGAAACCCTGGGAAGAGAGCTAAGTATGACTCTCTTTTTTAAGGGAATTGAATGAAGATAGAGATCTTTGGGAATTGTTTTCAGCACCAGCCAGGCTGCAGTGATGTCCCTGTACTGATCTCTCCTTCTCACAATTGAAATCACCTCTGAAATGTCCTGTTAAGGTGGATTGCCACCCAGGACAGAGTACACCTTTGCAAAGAAGAGGAGGAGGTGCTGATCTCCAGTGCTCAGGTGCCCCCACCTGACACCACTAGTTCAGGTCACTGGATTTGTTCACTCCAAGCCCAGTGGAGTTTTCTTGTGCTTCCTGCTGCTCTCAGACTTGCACTGTCAGGTTATATATAGTGCAAATGTTTTATAACAACTTGCACTGGTGGATATTTAAGCTGGGTGAGAAAGGAGTTTTTTATAACTGTATTAAACCCAGAAAAAAGCATTTCCTTTAGGATTAGGCTGTGTTATCCTGCAAATAAAGTGGGATGAAACATTAATGTCCCAGCTTGGAGCGCAGGTCCTACACCAGGATATAGTGCTGGGGAGGAGGAGGGGTCAGAGCAGGTTCTGCTACACTGAGAGTTCAATTGTAGAGATGATTTTTACCTTGGCATGTCTCCGAATTACCTATATGCAGGAGATTAACCACCTCAAAAGAGAAGCTAGCAGCCAGAATTGCTGCTCTGTCCAAAATGCATCTTCCCTCACTTCTCAGGGATCCCTCCTTGTCAGGAAACTTCTCAAACATAAATGGATGCATAAACAACTCAAAATCTTTTTGTCTCATTGCAAAAACTGAATTTCAGTAGCAAGCAAGGAAAAGAAAAGGAGAAAAGACAGAGCTAGATGCAAACATTACAGCTCAATCATGCCAAGGTTTAACTCAGCACAGCTCCGAGCTCAAGTACGCTACTCCAGATTTGCAAACAGGAGCCCACCGAGCACGCCAAGTTCTCTGTCACAAACACACAGTTAAAAGCACAAATACACAAACATGTGATCTGCATTCCTCGTCACATAACAGTGCTGAGACATACCCAAAACAGGGTCATTTGGGCCCAACTTATTACAAGTGCTGGCCCAACAGTCCTATCCAAACTGACCACGGCACTTTAGGTGAAGTGAGGATGGAAGCAGAATCCAAGTCAGAGACAGAGGTCAGCTAGGTGGACATACCCATGTAAGAATGGAGAAATCGATCTTGCTCAGCTTAGGGAGAGGGGAAAAAAGCCTACAAATGCTTCTAACTGAGGTGCAGACATGCAGAAAGTAGAGAGATGTGGGGAGCAGGGTGCTCTCCATCAGCTCTGGACATCAGAAAAAGAACAAGTTTAAAGTGCAAGACAGATTTAGATTAAACACCCTGAAAAATCTCTCTAATGATGAGTAGGCCTAAGTGTTGGCATACATCACCTGCACACAATGTGGGATTGCCAGCACAAAGAGCCTTGAAAGAGGAACTATTAGAAAGGATTTAGAAGTCTACCTGACCTTACCCAGGGTTGGGAAACAACCAGGATATCTCTGAAGGTCCCTGATGTCTGAGACTATGAACAAAGTTTTAGACATTCCTTTAAATTAGACATAGGGCAGTGACACAGCTCCCAGAGCACTCCCATCTAGACTGAAGCACAGCTACTCGATGAATAAGATCATCATTTAACACCCTAACAGCATCTTTTACTTATAGACACCGTATTGTCCTGCAAAATTCATCAGGTTTCCACAGGAGTGCCTCAAGAAAAGCAGATTATCAAAATGCAGAATTGTCGCTTGCTAAGATGTAAATACCAAATCAGGAGGACCAAGACTCAGCACATCTCTCACAAACAGAACACACTCCAACTTTTAATTAAATACTTTAAACAGCACGGAAATACTTGTATTTCCCTCATGCCCATTGTAAGGGACTCCCTGATTTCCATCTGCATTTCCATACCATCTACTGGGCAGATCCTGAACTACCCAGCAGCACAGGCAGGGCTGTACACCACAGCAGCCTGTCCCAAGCTGAGACCCCCAGGAGCCAAGTTTTGTTCCCCACATTAACACCAAGCCACATGCCCAAGATGAAGCACAAGGAAAGAAACCACCATCCTATCCTCCAAATATTCCCAGCAAACACATATGGACAGCAGTCTGGCCAGCAGAAGCTGAGAGGAAGAGGAGAGGAAGGCGAGAGGAGGAGGCCCAGCCCGCAGCCAGCTGAAGCGAGGTGGCAGAACATTTTCCCCCAATATTACTGGCTGCGAACTGCAGCGACCACATGGCTGTTCCCAGCCACTCAGTGCACGCTGTTTACTATAAACAACAACAGTAAACACGAACTCAGCCAAAAAATCGAAGCCGGGGACCCCAGAGCTGGCTCTCCACATCCCGACGTTCCCCATGGAAATAGTTTCATGTTCAGCTGCTGAACCGAAACCATCCGAGGCCCAAGGGAGCCGAGCTGCTCAGTGCATCCCAAACTCAGGCCGCCTGTTCGGATTTGCCAGCTCTGCCTTCAGTCATCCAGACTCCAAAGTGCTGCCAGTTTTACACGGGAGCTTCAAAGAGCTGGCGGATTAAACCTGCGCGGCAGGAGCCAGCCGTCAGCGGGGTTATTTTTAAACATCTCACTGTGCACGAAACGCTCAAATCTTGTCTCACTCCCAGCTCTATCCCAGCACTCGACTCGGGGCGGCTGCGAGGGAGGCGCAGCTTTCCCCCAGGCGTGGTGGTGATGGGATTTCTCCGGCTGCTCCCGGGGTCACCTCCAGCAGCAGGATCTCACACGGACCTGCTCGGGGCACCGGGACCAGCTCCACACACACACCGGGGTGGCAGGAGGGTGTCACCGAGCCCCGAAGGGCTCGTGGGGGAGGAAGGGCACAACCCCACCCCCGGGCACAGCCCGCAGCCGGGGCCACCTCCTGCAAATCTCCGGCAGCTCGGTCCCGCTTCCCCTTTCCTGCCAGGAGCGTCCGGCTGACACCGAACGGCGCCGGGGAGGGGGGCGGCTCCGGCCGGCCCAAGAACCGCTCCGAGGCCTCGGGGCGAGGCGGCACCGCGGCTGCCCGAGGCCCTGCCCGGGGACACCCGGCAGAACAACAAAGCCCTGGAAGAGGCTTCCCCGGGAGGCACAGCTCGGCCGGGCAGCCGCGGGGCCGGAGAGCCCCCGGGACGCTGCCCGGCCTTCGGCAGGGCCGGTCCCGGAGGGGCACCAGCAGGTGCGGGCGGTGACAGCCGCCCCCGGCCCGGGCACCGCGCTAAGGCGGCGGCCGGGCCCCGCTGACAGGAGGGATGGGATCCGGGCCGGGCTGCGGGCCCGACCCCCGCCGCGCCTCCCCTCCCCGCGCCGGGCCGGACCGAGCCCGGCCGAGCCGCCCGCCCCGGGCCGCCCGCTCACCTGCGCGGCCGCCGAGCGCTGGCGCTGCTCAGTCCCTCGCCGCCGCCGCCGCCGCCATGTTCGCGCTGCGCAGGGAGGCGGGGAGGGAACGGGAGGGAACGGAGGGAGCGAAGGGGGTGCGGCGGGGGATCGGGGAGGAGGGACCGGCGGCCCAGCCCGGCGGCCCGGCCCGGCCCCGCACCGCCCCCGCCGCCGACACGGCTCCGGCCAGCGCCGGAGCTTCGGCAGCTGATCGGCCGATGAGGCTCAGAGAGGCTCAGCTGGGTCGGCGCGGCTCCACGTGGTTCGGCTTACTTGGGTTCGGCTGCGTTCGACTCGGCTCGGGCTCGGGTGCGCTCGGCCGCGGCTGGGTTCGGCTCCGCTCGGTCTCGGCTGGGTTCGGCTCGGCTCCGCTCGTCTCGGGCTCGGCTGGGTTCGGCTCGGGCTCGGATCCGCCCTCACAAACCACGGCCGCCCCCGGTCGTGCCCGCTGTCCTCACGCAGGGACAGACCCTGCGGTTTAGATTGGATATTGAGAAAAAATTCTCCCTGGAAAGGGTTGTCCAGCCCTGGCACAGGCTGCCCAGGGCAGCGGTGGAGTCACCGGAGGGATTTAAGATGTGTAGATGTGACACCTGGGGACATGGGTTGGTGGTGGCCTTGGCAGTGCCAGGGTAACTGTTGGATTTGATCTTAGAGGGCTTTTCCAACCGAAGCGATCGGTGATTCTGTGTGACATGGGCTACTGCAAGAGCCACTTTTGCCCCCACAGACCCCACCAGTCCCTTTGCACCAACACATCTGCCTTCCACCCTCTGCTGCCCCCAAACCCTGCACCCTCCGCTGGTGCAGCCATCTCCCACCCTTGCCATCAGGACACACTGTTCCAGGTTCCCAGAGAAAAACATTTCCCATTTGCTCTATGCAGTATCCTGCTGAAGAGCCTGCTTCCACTGCAGGGATCACAGCTGAAGGGAGCCGTTCATCTGAAATAGCAGCCAGCTCACGCTGGATACAGAGCAGAGGTCCTGTCCTTGCTCTGCTTGCTGCATTGCCCAGAAAAAAATCCCAACAAAATTATTGTGGTCTGGAGATTCAGTTTGCATCTTTTAAGATACTCAAGTGAGTGGTGAGTGAGTCTAAAGGACCTCTGGGGTTAAACCTGGGTCTCATGGCCCAGGTATTTCAGTGGGGCAGTGGAGACACCACAGAATCACGGAATGGTTTGGGTTGGAGGATGAAAAGATGATCCAATTCCACCTCTCTGCCATGGGCAGGGACACTTCCACTGTCCCAGGTTGCTCCAAGCCCTGTCCAACTTGGCCTTGAACACTTCTAGGGATGTGCTAGTGCCTCTCTGGGCAACTTGTGTCAGGCCCTCACCACCCTCACAGGGAAGAGTTTTTCCCTAACATATTCTCCTGTATATTTTCCTACATACCTTTGGAGTGACACAGACGTGTGACAAGTCTTAGGGAGAAAACATCTGAACAATTTTCAAAGTACTTGTAGTGACACAGCTAATGTAGGAGTCTCCCCCTGAATGATTTCTTGTTCTGGGAGATTACATGGAGGCTTGAGTGGTTTAGGTCAAAGAAGATCAGAAGGAAACACCCCTGGTGTGGACAGGGCTTGGTGGAGTGTGGAAAGGCTGTTCCTGGAAAGCTGTGCAATAAGTGTGGCTTCCTGCAGTGAGTGGTGGTGTTGTCTGTGGCAGAGAGAAGCCAAAGCTGTGATTCATCTGCTCACTGCCCACTGCCAAACCTGATGCCAGCCAGGGAGGCACAGGCTGGGCAAGAACTCCAGGGTAGGACCTTCCCACTACTACCCAGCCTTTCAGGAAGGGCTGGAACCACCTCAGCCCATTCCTGTGTTCCTCCCTTTTCCTCTGGGGAAGTGAATGGCATCGCTCTGATGGGCTGAAGGCTGCAGTGTTCCCAAGGGACTGGAACTGATGGCTGGACTGAAGGCAAGACACACCCTGTAGGTGCTCACACTGTCCTAGTTCAGATGCTGGACTTGGTTTAGCAGTCCTGCCCAAGGCCAAAGAAACTTCTGCCCGATCAGCAACTAATTTCTGGGGTCCAGCAATTTGTCCACAGCTCTTTGACCTGCTTCTCAAGGGGAGAAAAAAGTACTCTCAGAGCAAAATAAACCTGTATTTGCCTGTCTTTCACAACAAAACAAATTAAAAATAAAGACATATACTTCATCAAACTGGGTGGGATTTCTAATAGTGGGGGAGAAAACTATTTGAAACTGTTCCAGAGCTGCAGTTCGGAGGTTTCTCTTGTCTTCTGAATGGTGACATTGGCCACTGCTGAGGGCCAGCACTGGCCTGGAAAACCTCTTGTGCTGAAATACTCCCACTGGAAGGATGGATAGTTTGAAATGCTGGTGTGGGCTTCTGTCTTAAGATGTGGAGTACTTGGTTGAGGTGGGACATGGAAGTATGTTTGCTTCAGCTTTGCACCTGAGCACTTTATAAATTCACAGGTACTACCAAATGCTTCTCATGGGTGTCAGCAACTCTGGTATGTCCACAGTAATCAGCATTTCATGAATGGAATAAGTGCACAAGAACTCAGAGCTGCAAGATGGAGACAGGAGCGAAATTTCTCCATTGGCTTTAATTTGGAATGAGCAGTGGGATTTACATATGACATCCATATGAGCACCACAGGAATTCAGTTTGATTAATACTACAATAGAAATGGTTTGCCATTTATTCTGAAGTGTTGCCAGGAAAGCTCAGCACATTTGCAGCCTGGTTTGGGCCAGCTCCAGGAGATGAATGGCTGGGAGGGAACCCCGTCAAAGAGTGCCCTGATGCTCAGGGTGCTGGACACACTGGAGCAGGACCTGCAGGAGAAGAGGGTGGAGTGGGATATAAGGCAACATGACTGGGAAGAAAACCTCCTGCTGTCTTCCCTTCTCCCCTCCCTCTTCCTCCCTCATTAGTGCCTTGCAGCAATTCGGCATCAAATGTCCTTTTAGGCTGGTTCCCACTATTTGCAGTGTTCCCATTAATGAACTTTGTTTTCTGCCACGAATTGATCCTCAGTCTGGCATGGATGAAAATAACAGAGCATGTTCTGCTTGAGAGAAAAAGGCTAATGTCCCCTGGTCCATGACCTTTTTATCCTGAATCTGATACTTCATAAAAAGGTGAATAAGAGGGCACAGGGATGGATGTAGAGGAGGAAGATCTAAAGGAACATGTGCACCCAGTATTCCTGCTTCTCTCATAGATTTGTTCTTTGACCTGACATCTTTCTTGGAGAGGGGAGGTGGGAATCTTCTCCCCATGCCTCAAAAAGGCAGAGGAAAAGGTTATTTACAGAGATTAAAGCCCCAACAATCAGCAGATCACTTTGCAGGGCCTGCCATAAGTTTCCTTTCCCAAAGCAATCTCATATTGAGACCAGCTGTTGAATTTGCCAGGGTCTGTCTGCCCAAAAGAGCACATTTTTTTCCTGAAAACTTCATGGCCTGGAAAATCACCTTTGTGAACACCAAAATGCTCTCTTGGTAGTGGGAAATCTCCTGGCCTCATGTCCCAGACATTTGCAGACAGCTCTGCCTTTCCCTGTCCAGTTGCACAGTGACCCTCTGACAAAGGCTGCCTTCTGCAAACCCCAGTGAGCCCCCAACATCCTCTTGAGGCAAAAGAACACATTTTCCCATCATAACACATATTTATTTCTCCTGTTTCACATGGCTCTTTGCATTTATTTCTATCTTTTCCACATGCCAGGTGGATGCCCAGCCTGGGTCCGAAGTGCCGTGTCCAGGGCTTACACCCCCTGTCCTGGTTAAATATACCTGTTCCTGTCAGTATATACACCCAAATTTAAGTTAAACCCCTCTGTTACAGAGTCACTCCTTGCAGTTCTGGTCTGCTTTCCTCACCCTGAATTTCTTCCCAGAGCTGTCTTGATCCCACCCCACCTTTGCTGCTTAGCACCTCACCAAGCTTGGGTATATATTTATAATCCTTCTGTTATTCTAATATGAAGTTATTATCTAATTAGTATTTAATATCAATATACAACCCATAATTATCTGATTTCAGGCTGTCACAATAGCTCAGTCCTTACTCAGCAGTTGTCTGGTATTTCCAAAGCCTGCTACACACCTCCATCAACACTTTAAGGATGATTGTGTTTGGGTTATCTGGGTGTAGGTGTAAAATATCAGTTTATTTTTAGGTATGTTGTGTAAATTTCCTGGCTAATAGCAGTCTTGCAAGTCCTTCACCAGCTTTATGAAAAGCCGAGAAAAGAGATCTGGTTTCTCTGCAAAAGCAGAATTTAGGAAGTTATTGAACACTTGATTTGTTGCCGTTGTTAATAAATTTCCTGTGTCTATTAATAGCCTCATATGGGTTTGAATTCCCTTTGTTCCCAGAGCCTTCTAAACATTTCCTACTGCTGCTCTTTGATCCTGCCAGCCACGAATCCTTCCCCTAATAGCTCGTTTCTTCTGTTCGTACCCTTCACAAATGACTGCACGTCTTAATCCCAGCCGACCTCTCGTCCTCCCGCAGGGATTCACGGCTCCAGGGTCCTCTTTGATCCGCGCATCGCAGAGAGACGCGGATCCCCGGGACAAACTGCTGGCGTGGGAGCTGTGGGAAGGGGACAGAGCAGCAGGGACATGGCAGAGATGGGCACTTGTTGGGGAAGATGAAACAAGGAAACCTTATGAATATGATTGTTTAGCAAAAGATTCTGAAAATATGAAAGCTGGGATTGAACTAGAATTGAAAACTGGCTTTGAGCTATAGGACACTGAGTGCTAGTTACTGTATAACCAAAGAACAATAGCCTAGCCAGCTGAAGGAGAATCCTGTTGATTGAACAATACCCTTCTGCTGATAGAGAATCCAAAGGTCAAGCAGCAAGAGAAGAATTTGAAGAGTAGCTTTTAGAGTTTAAAATGTAACACTGCATGGTAATGTAGTAGTTCTTATAGGCTATATGTAAATTCTATAGAATGTGTGTGGTGTACTGGTTGGTCATGGGGAATTAGAATATTCACTATAGAAAAGGATATAATGTATTGTAACAAGAACTTTGCTTTCTTCTCTTAGCCTCTCTT